GACAGTAACCGAGTAGCAGCTGCAAACTGTACAGACACAAACTGAAGGATAAGGTCCAAAATCAAGCAGGGAACTCGCACAGTCCACGAAGATACACCATCACAGGCCTCCCTCTCCATTTTACAGTCCATTAAATAAAAAAAATGTTTTTCCAGTTGCACAGTCCAGACTCTGCTGAACCTTTGGAAGAAATCTCCTTTCTGCTTTGACCTCTGTGCAAGACTTTGGGAATAAGGCTTCCTTCTAGTGGTGAAACAGTCTAGAAATGTTTGTAGACGACAGATTTTTTACGTTTTTGCACTTTCTGAGTGTTCTTTTATTACTGAATCACTGCCTTCATGTGTGTAATTCATAATGTTTTCAAATATTCCCATATACATTCCATTGTGCCCTAATGTTTTGTTCCTCTCTAGACTTTGTTGACCAGCTATTAAAAGACAGACTTATAAAAAAAAATCCTTCCATTTATCGATCATTAAATAATTTTATATAAAAGCAAACCTAACCATCCCCGCCCCGCGAAGGCCTTCCCTAACGGTTAACTACTTCACCACCTTGTTATCGTACATATATGCATGTGCACAATGCATGTATGCAAATTCAGTTCCCCTCTCTCGCTCATGCACACACACCAGAACAGATGTTTTACAGCTTGTTCTCACATGAGGTCCATGCAGTACCAAAGCAGAAATATCCAGATGTGGGTGTTCTTCGTTTTTTTTTTTATGTTTCCAGTACGTGGCACAAACTTATGGCAGAGAAGCGGATACATGGTTCGGCTCAGACCTGGATCCAGTAATATTTGCACAATTCATATTAGTGTTTCTTTCAATCTGCTTGGCGTACCAGACGGGTGGGGTTTACCATACAGGGCGACACGATATCTTCCAGAGAGTTTAGACAATCGCAGAATCTTCTCTGTGATCTCAAACTTACCTGCTCCAGTCTTCATTGTCCCAATATTGTAAACCCCACAGATCCAGGATACCAAGCATGTTAAAAAAAATGCTATAATTAGCAACACTAATTGATCATGGTCTGGTTTGGGTTTCAGTATATACACAGTCATCCATTTATCATTGTGATCCCAAGAGGATAGAAGGAATTCAGGACTTCCCCATTTCACTAATGAATGTTCACCTCCATATATTCTCTCATTGTCTATTCATCCATCTGTATTGTGTCCTGATCTCCAAGTTCAACACTCTCCGGTAAGTTTGGTGCCGTCCCCCCGTTTGGGCGGTGCAGGCGGGGGTCCTCGTCGTAGCGTTGCATAGCCTGAGATGTTTCCGGACATGTAGCCGCTGTTTCCTCCATTGCTTTGCTTTCCTTGGTCCAGGAGCAGCTCAGGGGGCGGCGGAGGCAGCGCCATGTCGTCCATAGTTCCCACAGGGTCCAACTTGCCCGTGAGGCCCGCCGAGTTGAGAGAACCTTGGCGACCCACTGACTTTCGCTTCAGTGTCCGGTTGAGATCCTCCAAGAAATTGGGCTGGCCTGAGCTGCCCTTCGGGGAGGTGGGTGGAGGCGGTGACAGCGGAGGGGGTTCTGGGGTGGTGTTACTACGCCGCCCGAGTGTGGGTGGAGGAGTCTTTTTCAGAGAGCTCTTCCCCCATGATGAGTTGCTGACAAGGGAGACAGGCGGAGGAGGAGGGGGTGCCTGGGGCTGAGGGTTGACCACAGCTACCCTAGGAGGTCCTCCGCTATTGGCGTCACTACCGGGAGGTGGAGGAGGAGGGAAGAGCTCAGAGGCCGGGGGAGGAGGTGGGAAGAAGGCGCACTCAGGTGGTGGGGACGGGAAGTCGCCACTGGATTGCTTTACCTGGCTCACTTTGGCCTGGAGTGCCAAGGGCAGGTTGGCCAGGTTGAGCTTGCCTGGTTTCGGGGGAGCAGGGGGTCCAGTTGAGGGGTCTTTGGAAGGGGATCCAGTGGAAGAGGAGGTGGGACACGCGGAGGAAGGAGAGGTGTTCTGGGGAGCGAACTTGCTGAGCAAGTTCTTCCTGGATTCCTCATAGGAAGCGTTGAACTTGATGCTGGAGTTCCTCTGCGGGGTGGGAGGAGGTTTCTTGCCTACAAAAGAGCCAGAGGGTGACCTCCTCGTGGGGGAGCCCAGGTTTCCAGGAGGGAGGGGAGGGGGAGGTGGAGTCGGGCCTGTTACAGGGGCTGGGGGAGGTGGCGGAGGTGGCGGAGGTGGTGGAGGGCCTGTT